TCACCATGGAATAGGGATTATAAATTCTAATTCTATAGTATGAGACAATATATTCATGTAATATTTAAGAAAAGTTTTTTGTAAATGAGTTCCAATAATTCCGGGATTAGGGACCCAATCTTATGAGGTTCCACAGGCTTCTGTATAGATTATTTAGGTTAATCTTTCTATCTACCCAATAGGACTCAGTGTTCAGTGTAGAAGATACCATCAGAGATGCCTAGTTTTGCAGTTCTCAAATTGTGGATTTATGTCTCCAGAAATAACATGCTTGCTAATAGCAAAAATGTTTCTAAATAAATAAATTATAGAGGTGAGAAATAGCAGACCTCAACCCTATTGTCCCTCTGCAAATTTGTGTACCCAGAGTCAATCCCTTACTTCTCTCAAAGTGCAAAGTATCAAAAAGTTCAATGAATAGAAGATTGTTCGGGGTGGAATAGATCTGGACAAGGAGAAGAGATCTGGAGATAAATGTGAGAAGGGAGGGACAGGCAGTAGACACAAGTGAAATTTTGAGCAGCATATTCCAGAAATCTTGAGGTCTTTCTGAGTGTAGCCCTCATTGATTTGAGATCTACCATACCATTCTCTCACTAGAAGTGAAAACCTATAATGGCAGCAGGCCGTAAAAGGGACCCAGTTTGGGAATATTTTAATGAAGTTCCTCTACCTCTGGGTAAGACAGGCATGCGTCCAAAATGCAAACCGTGTAACAAAGCAATGCAAGGCCTGAATGAAACAACATCATGAGAAGTGTTCCTTCTCAGGAGGAAGCTGCGTTGAAGATGATGAAAGGAACATGTCTGAACATGCAGGATCTTCAGGTTGGTAAACTTTTTTTATTTGCGGGGCTGGAAGTATTTTGTCCACAAAGGTGCCGACAAAGAGCATTACACATGCTGACTTTTAGCAAGAAGGCTGTGTACTACCTTGTCGCTAAAAGCTGTGTGGCATAGACAAGCCCTTAGTTGGTATGTGTTATAGCACAATTCTTATGTGCCTCTTTAAGGGCATGTTCCTTTAACCCTTTCTCATGCAAATAGCCTGGAGCCACGCAAGTAGACTGTTACTCGCTTGAGTAAGGCCTGTTCATGTGATTAATGGTTGCATTATTAGGCCCTGATTCTGCAGCTGACTGCACAGCAGACTCCTGTACGGCACCCCATGAACTTCAAGGCCCTGATAAGATTTGTGTAGATAGGCTCCCATTCAAGTCCTGAAAGAATCTGAATTTTTAATCAAGATCTAATAAAGTATTCAACAACCTTCTCCTAGCATTTGGGGAAATAATTTGCCAATAGAAATGTTTATTATTTCACTATATAAGTGATGCAATAAAGTAGTAAAATAATTTGTCCACATATGCTGTACTGTACATGAGTATCACGCTGTGTCCATGCATATACCCACAAGTACACTTGTGCTGTTGTTACATGGTGTTGGCACTACCATTTCAGGGGTGGTATCCCAGTGTGCTGTGCATCACTGCAGACACCCTAGAAAGTGCCTTGCTGTGTACGGTTGGTGCTATTCCCCCCTACCATCACACATTTGCTGATAACAGTTCCTGCTCATCTCTCCCTCCTGCCAAACTGGGTGGAAGGCATGGAGCAACTGGATGATGATCTGGTTCTGCTGCTGCTCCTTATTGCAGTACAAATGTTTAAGTGGTGGCATTGTCGATCGGCAAGATACAGGATGAAATCTGGGCTGAACTTTCTGACGTGGTGAAGACAACCAACTTTGAGGATGAATGACAATTCATTCATGTTCCCTGGACAGATATGATGAATGCCAGTAATCTGGTGAGCTGGAGCCGCAAGAACCGGTTGTTAAATTTAGAAGCCGGTGTAGAACCGGTTCCTAAAGGGGTGGGCGGGTGAGCAAACTCTGGTCCGTGGGCTACATCCGGCTGCCCAGCCCCTCCCCCCTCGCAGAGCCCCAGCGTGCCGCGCTGCCAGCACCAGCGCTCTGGGCAGCTCTGCAGCTCCGGTCGCTTTGAGAGGCAGAATACTTACAAGAAGTAGCAGTAAGAGCTATAACAAACTGGGGGGAAAAAAAATCTAACGTCTAGAATGCAGCTTGGTCACAGACAATACTGCAAATGTATCCAAGATGAGAAGTAATTTAGAAGAGAGTAGAGTCCAAAGCTAATAACATACGGTTGCAGTGCTCATTTGATGCACCTCCTAGCCAAAGACTTCAGTGTTCCAGAAATAAAGGCTAATGTTGTTGAAATTGCAAAATACTTCCGTAACAACCACTTTGCAGCAGCTGCTCTGAAAAAGTGGGAGGAACCAAGCTAACTCTCCCACAAGACGTGCCATGGAACTCAGTAGGGGACTGTTTTGAGCACTATATCAAGAACTGGCCTAATTTGATGACAGTTTGTGAGCAAAATCATGAAAAAATAGATATCCGGGGGTAGCTGTGTTAGTCTGTATCTACAAAAACAACAAGGAGTCTGGTGGCA